AAGTTAATAATAGAAATACTTACCAAATTGATGAAAAAATATGAAATCTAAAAGAACAATTAGAAAAGCAATATAATCAAATGACTATCACTGAATATAATAATAAACGAGTTATCTTTAAATATCTTATTTGCTTAAATAATAAAAAAATGCATGCTAGTTTAGAAGCAGCTAAAATAGTTTTTGTTGATAGTGGTCTATAGAAAGTACAATGCATCTGATATTATTCAAACTATTGGTTATTTAATATCAAATTTCTAGTATCTAGACGTGAAAAATATTAAAATACTATTATATTGATTGATGATGAAGATATAGCTGAAAAATGCTAACCTGAATTCATAAGCAAAATTTTAAAACTATGCTAACTACATTTAAAGAGTTTGTTAAAAAGAGCTATTATCTAATATTGGAGTTACTAAAAGAAAATTTATTTCTTTAATGATCACAATGAGATAGCTTAATATCCTTAGTTATTTATTTCAAAAACATCATCAAGTTATATATTATGATAAATATGAATGAGATAAAAAACTAAAAATAAAAATAGGAATAAAAAAGAGAATAAGAATAAGAAATAGAAATAAAAATAAAAAATATAAATAAAAAATTAGAAATTAGAAGAAAGTTCTATAAAATTTATTGACTTTAAATTATTATAAATAAGAATAGTATTTTATTTTGTAAAAATTAGATATTTATAATCTTAATAACAAAAATTATGTAATAATTATCTTAAAACTAATAAAAAAAAGTTTTAGATGTAAAAATATATTTGTTAATATATTTATTATGACACTAATAATTAATTAATTATGTTAAATAAAAATTATAAAAAAAAAATAATAATAATAATTAAAAGATGATTTTAAAATAATTAACCAAAAGGTTTATAAAATATGAAAAGAAAATATAAAAAGTGAAAAATAATATAATAGAATAAAAGAAAAATGATACTTTTAAAAAATAAAGAAACAGAAATATATAATAAAATAAAATTTAAAAAATAAAGAATTATGATAAACAATTATAAGAAATAAACACAAAAAATAATAATAAAAAGGAATAAATAAAAATAATAAAATTAAATAACATTAAAAAATTATGAAATAAAAATAATCAAATAGAAGTCTAAGAAAATAAAAAAAAATATAAAAAAAAATACAGAATTAAAAAATATAACAAAAAAATAAGAATAATAAATTAAAAAAATAAATGAAAAAATAATTAAGAAACAAAGATAAAAATGAAATAAATAAAGATATAAAAGAAGATAAAATGTAAAAGATAAAAAAAATAAAATAAAATTATAGTAAAATAAAATATAATAAAGAATAAGAATAAAGAATAATTATAAAGAATTAGAATAATAATAATAATAAAGAATATGAATAAAAATTAATTATAAAAAAATAAGAATAAAAAATAAATAATAATAAATAATTGTTTAAAATGAAGCGTAAGATATTATACTTTTAAAAAATGTGAAAAATTTAATTATATGAATTATTTCATTTGTCACACTGCATATAATAAGATCAGAAAATAAAAAATAAAATAAAATATTAAATATAAAAATTTATTTATTTATATTTATTGATTTAAATAAAAAATTTTGTTTCAGACTTAAATGGTTTTCATTTTTTAGTAATTAAGAATTATATAAGATCTTTATAATAGAAAAAAAAGAAATAGTTAAAAAAATAAAAAATGAGTTAATACTAAATCTAAATATATTTTGACCTAAAAATTATATTAACATATAAAAGTAAAATTGATTTTTTTTTTAGCTGTTTCTTCTTTTTTTTATTGCAAAAGTTCTATATTATAAAATATTAAAAAATAATGAAAAATATGAAATAATAAAAGAAATTTATAATAAAGAAGTAAAATAAATATGTAAATTTTTTAAATAAAAATTAATTTATAAAATAAATAATATAATTTTTGTTAAGTTATTAACTCTAAAATGTTATATATTTGTAAAATATAGATTTTAATAATTATACTAATAAGAATTCTAAAATTCTCATTAATAGAGTTAAAGTTGCTAGATGAATCTAAGAATTTTGTAAATCATTTAAAATTATAAAAGATAAAATTTAGCAAATTATATTAAAACCTTATTAAAAAATCTGCAAAATTCAAAAAAAGTAAAATTATATCAAAGCTTATAAAAATATAAAACTATATTAAAACTTTAGTAAAAAATTAGTGAAACTAAAGTATTTTGCTAAATCTAAAATAAATTTAGACAATAACTTTAGATAGAGTATAATATTTATTTTAGTAAATAAACTGATATAATATATAAAGATTTATTTAAAATTTTATTGCAAATTTAATTATATTGAGTTTTTTTAAATAATCAAAGTGATATTTATTTTTTACTATAAATATTATATAAATATATATTTAAATATTTAAAATTTATATTAAATATATTAAATTTATTAACCTAATTAAAATGTATCAATTTTCATATTTTTATATATTATATAAATATATATAAACTTAATTTTTAGATAATCCAATTGTTTTTACAATTAAGTAACAATAGTTTTATCCTTATATTTTTACAAATAATTTAAAGAATTTAATAATATATAAGTAAAATAAAATAATTAAATTAATTTTATTATTTATATAACTTAAAATTTAAGAATTAGTTAAATATAGTGATAAACTCAAAAGCAAATTAAAATAGTATAATACAATCAAATTTTAAATAAAAATATATTAAAAGAAAAAGTAGATGTAAAGATTTTAATTAATTTATTACTTAAAATTTATAAAAGTATTAAATTAAGTATTGTAGCTACTAAAGCTATATTTTTAACTAATAAATTTAAAAAACTAGAATTTTAATTTTGAATAATAAAAGGATTCAATATTATATAATTTTAAAGTTTTAATTTATTATATCTAATAAATATCTTTAAAATTAAAGAAATGACTGATATATTTCTCCTAAAGTTCAAAAATTAAGAAAGAAGAATTGCTATTAATTCTTGGTTATTAATTATAATACTATATCAAATAATATAAAAATAATACATAAAATTTTTATTAAATACAATTTACTTTATATTATTATTATAAAAAAAATATATATATATTTAATATAATATTACATAGAATTTTTATATAAATATTCTATTAATTTAACCTAATTATTAATAAATTTCAATATTTATTATAATAATAGTTTTGAAAAAAAAATTAAGGAATTCTAAAATTAACAATTCAATAATATAATTATTACTATAATTAAAAATTAAATATAGTATTTTTAATTATAAATTTCTCTTATAAAAGTCTTTAAAATATTTGTTAACAAAATCATAAAAAGGACTATGACCGTTTTGATCGTGTAAAATGATCATGTGAATATTTTAAAATAAAAAAGTGGTTTTCATAGAAAGAAATTTTCGATAAACAGTATTTCGAAAATTAATATCGAGATTAGTATGGATTTTGTAATTAATCAATCATATGGTTTAAGAAATCTTTTGACAATCACATTTTGTTGTTTTAGGGCGTATAATGATAGTCTATCTAATTAAGGTAATTTATTTCTCCATTTTAAAGATAAACTTATCTTTCTTTTAAAAAAAAACGGAAGAATTATTTTATAAATAATTTTATCATTAGTTTCCAATTTAAGAAATTGTTTAACAAAGATCTTTTTTAATCGGACGTGTTCAAAAAAATTGTATTCAATCACACGAATTACAAAGGATGTTTTTAAAAAAGTGATCAGTGATCTAAGGTTACGTGGCAAAACCCAAATCTCATTTTGGAAAAAGTACCGTTTTTAGAAACTATCTTGGGAGAAAGTATTTCTATAAATAAATTAAGGCTTAGTTACATTTGAATATATTTAGGCAAACTTTCCCTTTTTAGTAGACATTTATTTTAAATAAATAGATGTAGCATGAAGTTTTTATGACAAAATAATTTAAAACAAACAAAAAATTAAAAAATGCAAGGAATTCAACATGATAAGAGGCTACCACAAGTTTCAAATCCAAAAACACAATCGTTTATAAACGAAACGTGGTTAATAGAAAACGAGTTAAATTCACTTTCTTCAAACATTTCAAATATACTATCTATACAAACCCAAATAACAATTGCAACTTCAGATAAAAATGAAATTTCATTACTCAAATCTCGTGATTCATTATTAAGTTTAACGAAGAATTTATTAATTTCAACGAAAAATAAAATAAAATCACTTGAAGTACAAAATTTAAAAGAAGTTGGAGCCTCTTCGACTGCGAATGATTTTGAATTCAGGAATCAACGAATAATCCATCTTAAAGAAAAAATTTATTCAATGTTTGGAAACTTATAAAGAAATTGAAAATAATTATATGAAACAACAAAAGGAACGTTTAAATAGACAATTTAAAATTGTAAATCCGAACGCAAATTATGATGATATCGCTGAAACCGATCGGCCTGTTTTTTCTTCAATCTATAATGAATACTATAAATCAACGTCAAAATGTTGAGGACTCAAAACGCGTTTTAGAAGAAGTGAATAGACGTCATGATGATATTAAACAAATTGAGAGAACTATTGCCGAATTAGTTGAATTATTTGAAGAAATGAAATTACAGGTCGAATTACAAGATTATATTATCGTAAAAATTGCAAATGAAGTAGAAATGGTTGAAAATGATGCAAAAGATGCAACAGTTGAATTAAAACATGCTGAGGTGAATGCTAAGAATACAAGAAGTTACAAACATATATTTGTTTTAATTATTTTATCTATAATTTGTATTATTATATTAATAATGCTGCTTGTTCTTATACATCATGGATAAAGTTAATTTTGGATGGATTACTTAAAAATGTAAATATTTTTTTATTTGGTATAACCGTTGAGGGATAATAACCCGAGTTCCACGTATAGAATATTATCGAACAATTAACGGAAAGAAGGTGTAAAAACATTTTTTACTTTGAGGTGGAGATTTATGAATGAGAAGTTGATTATTAGATAATATTATATATATAAAAAAAATTGTTATATTTTAATATTCTGTACATATCAAAAACGAAATTTAAAAAGACCAAGTTCTTATATTTATACTGTAAAGCCAACCCAAATGATCGGTATATGAGTCACAAAAACTATATGGAACTTCTTGTTGAAGTTATATATTTAATACTTAAAATACTGCATAGCTTCGGGTCGGATCTGGTAACTTATAGATCATGATTCTCTCGCTTAATTAAAAAAATCGTTGAATTTCAACACGTGGATTTTCTTTTGATGTCTTTTTATTTCTTTTTTATTTCCTTTTTTTCTTCTTCGGATATCCTAAATGACACTTCGGTGGTTGTTACTCCACATTCCATACCTTGTTTTCATTATAATTTTCTTAATTTTTTCAATAATGTAAATTTCTTTTGACTCGTTACATATAATAAATTTATGGTTTCTTTTTAAAATGCATAGCAATTTGCTAATTTCAATATTTTGTTACGATAAAATCTCTCTTAAAACTTTTAAGATTAAAAAAGGAAAACCTAGCCTCAAACGTTAAAAAAAAAAATGGTAAAGTTTAAATTGGTTTTGATTAATCAGTTAACCAACCATATTTAAATTATCAATTTAATTATAGCTTAATTCCTTTAAGATTGAAGACATTTAAGAATTCTGCAATTTGGAAAGACCATCAGCCACCATTTTCTTTCATAAAATCCGATTTATCTTGTATGCGACATTACATTTGAAACTTGAAACAACTACTATTTATAATGTCAAAGGCATCAAAGTGTTAAATTGACGAACGGGAAACAGTTTACAAAGTAATAGAAATCTAGTCAAGAATTAATACCATTAATAAATTGGGTTGAAAAGTAAACATTTCTATATCACGTAATGTGATTTTGACAAAATGACTTTTTGCAATCTGAAATTGATTTATTGAGATAAGTTAATTATTGTGAGGCTAAGAAAAATTCTCTTAGTTGAGAGATTCTCAGAAGCTAGTACTTTGAATTTAATGATATATTTTTTTGTGAGTTTTGTTAAAATGTATATATTCTTATATATTATAGATTTTGCTGTAATGTAGTCAATAAAAATGCATTCACCTTAAGTTTAAAGACGCATTTTTATTAGTTTTTCTAATAAAAGATACCTTAAAATTCAAAGGTATCTTTTATTAATATTTTTTCTAATAAGAGATGTTTAAAATTTAAAGGCATTTTTAATTGTAATTTTTTAAATAAAAGAAATTCTAATTTTAAAGTTACTTTATTAGTTTCTTTTAATAAAAAATACTAAAATAAATAGAGCTGTAATTATTTACAGCTAGTTGTAATTACCTTTTTTTGTAATTATTAATTGCAATTAACTGTAATTAATTATAACTTTATTTTTATTTTAAATATCTTTTCATTAACTTTTTTTTATTTTTCTAATAAAAGATATCTTTAAATTTAAAGATATTGTTATTAATTATTTTAATAAAAGATACTTTAAAGCTTAAAGACATATTAGTTTCAGATTTTTTCAGATTAAATTGTAATTTAAATTAATTTTTTATAATTTGAATTAATCTAATTTATAAAAATATTATCCCTTAAATTATAAGTATAAAGTTATTTATAAAACATTTTAGAAAACTTAAAATATTTTAACATCTAATGATTATAAAAAATGAAATAAAGCTTATTAGATTATATTAAAATACATTTAATAATAATATTAAATTTTTAAAATTAATAATTATTAATATATATCAATTTTTTAATTTTTTAATTTTTAAAAATAATATATTAAGTAATAATTATTTAAAAATAAAATTCAGTTTTTTTGGATTCATCTCATTAAGATCTATTAAATGTTAATATTTTTATATTTTTGTAATTAATAGATAGCAAGATATATGAATTTATAACTATATTATTTAATTTTCAATAATATTTTTATCAAATTTTCATTAAGAAAATTTTGGAAAGACTAAAACATTACATACAATTTTCTTCTTTTTAGATTTAAAAGAAATTATAATCTTTTCTTAATAAAAATCCAGAAATTTATTAAAAATGTTTTTTAAAATATTTAATATTAATGATAATAATATTTTAGCTGCTATTTCTTTTATTCAAATAAATAAAAAGCACTTAAAATAAAAGTTTTTACTAATGAATTACCTACAATTTTTAAATTAGTATTACCATTTAGAGATATACAAAAACTAATTTATATAATATGTAATCAATTAATAAAAGATTATCATCATTTTATAGACTTATTTAAAGAAAAGAATGATATTGTCGGGATTGATATCTCTTTATAAAATATTATAAATATATATATTTTATTAAAATTTAAGAAAAATGAAAAGTAAATTTAAGACTTGCTTATAAATTAAATAGATCTTATTTGAATCCTTAAACCTTTACTTAAACGTTGACTTATGCATACTTCTATTAAAAGAAATTATTCTAAATTTTCTTTTTATCTTTTAAGAAATTCTTTTCTTTTTTTAATTTAACAGGTATTTTAATTCATATAATTAATTTTTTTATCTTCACTTTTTATAATTAAGTATGAATTTTAAGATGTATAAAAATTGTTAAAAAAGATTTAATAATTTTTTGTTAAATTAAAGAAAAAATGTAATAGAATTAAAGCTTTTAACATTCTATATTATTATTTTAATATGACCAATTCTTAAAAAAATTAGACCACTTTAGCTTTAAAATTTAGATTTTTTGATTAAACTTCTTAACAGATACTTATAATATTATTTGAATTTTTATTAAAAATTAAATTATTAAATATAAATAAACAGATTATGATAATTATATAAAATTATGTAAAAATGTAATTCATATTATGGTAATTAATTATAAAATAATAAGTAATAATTAATTATAGGATAGTAATTAATTACAGTGTGATAATTTTTTACAGTATGATAATTATTTATTATAAACATAATTAATTATAAGATAGTAATTAATTATAGTATAATAATTTATTATAGGATAGTAATTATTTATTATAAATATAATTAATTATAAGGTAATAATTAATTAGCAAATTTTATTTTAAAAAATATAAAAAGTAAATTTAAAAATATTTATAATTATTTAAATAGAATACATACTAATTTTAAAGAAATTTTTATAATAAAAAGAAATCTAATTTCATATTTAATTTAAATATATTATTAATATTTTTATTAATTTTTATTTTGAATAACAATAATATCTTAGAATATAAATTATTTATATAACTATGATTCATTTTAAATCAGATAATCTAAAGTTTCTAAATCAATTTAAAAGGTAAATTAATGTTAATATTTTTAATTAAAAAATTTTTATAATAAAACTTACTTCTTTAATTTAAAAATTTCATTATTTAAAGACATAGATCAGTCTACAAGGTAAACTAATATTAATATATATTTTTTTAAAATTAAAAATAAAAATTTTATAATAAGACTTATCTTTAATCTAAAAATTTTTTAGTTTAAAAGTTCTAGAATTTACAAAAAAATAAGTATATTATTAGCTACTTTTAAAAAAACATTTTTCTCTTCCTTTCTTTTATAGAAATTTACTTTTAATTATCTCTTCTTTTCACCTACCTATTTTAACTTTTGCTTTATATTTTTTGATTTATTACATGATATTATGAATTAATAAATCATGTAATTTACTCATATTATATTAAGTTTTCTGTTTATTTTTATTTATTTATGTTATTTTTATTTTTTTTATTTTTTGCTTCATTCTTTTTTCTACTTTATCAAGTATATTTACTTCTTTGAATATTATGTTAAATTTATAATTAATATTTAATTTTTTAGTAATTATGTTTAATTTATTTCTTTTATATTACTAATTATATTTATTTTATTTATTTTTAATATTTTTATATTACTAATTATATTTATTTTATTTTATTTTTAATATTAAATTACTAAATTTATATTATTTAATATTATTAATTTTATTTATTTACTATTATTAGTTATTTTTTAAATATTACTAATTATATTACACTTTATATTTTATATTATATTAAAAAGTTTTTTATTATTATAAAATATTTATATTTTATTATTAATATGTATATTTTATTATTAATATGTATATTTTATTTAATAAATAAATAAATTTTAAATTGTATAATTTTATAAATTAAATATTAATAATTATAAAAATAAATTTAAATAATATTATGATTAATTAATTATATAAAAAATGTATATATTATATACTTTTAATATATTATGCATCATAAATATACAAATTACTATAATATTTTTATATTTATATATTGTAAACCTTTGAAATATTATATATTGTAAACTTTCAAAGTATTACATATATAATTATTTTAATAGATTCATAATCTTATATAAAATTATGAGATATAAAATTTATATAATACTTCATATTATAATTTATTGATGAAAGAAAGTAATTATATAAAAGTCTAACTATATTAAAATAAATAAAATAAAAAATTTATATATTAAAATAAAAGTTATTAAAATTAAAAATTAAAATTAAAAAATAATTATTTAATATAAATTCAAATTTAATTAAAATTTTAAAAATAAAAAATGCAAGTATTAAAAAAATTTATAAATTAAATAAATATTATATAAATTAAAAAAATTAAAATTAATTTTTAACTTTACTATATACTAATAATATTAGTACTAGTATATACTTCTGTTCTTTTCAATTTCTTTAGATTAAATTGACTTTATGTAATTTTATTAATTTCATCATTATTAACATTTTTTCTTTATTGCTAATTCATATATTTTTTTAAAAATTTAATATTATTTATATAATATTATAAAATATTACTTAAAACTTTATAATACTTACCAAATTTCTTCTAAATTTACTTTTTATGATAAATTTTATAATTTGAATATTTATTAATTAAATCTAATATAATTTAACATATATTAATTATATATGTAACTTATATATTCAATACTATTCTTAAATCTAATCAAAGTTTTTTAAAATATAGAATATAAAAGTAAAATATTCTAGATTTCTATTTTAATAATTAATTATCTTAATATTTAAAGCATTGTTTTATAAAAATCAATACTTTTTATTTATATAATTCTATAAATTTATATATACGCTTATTTAAGGTAAATTAAATTTTTAAAATACTAAAAATAAAATTTTTTATTCTAAAAATCAAAATATATCTTAATTTATAATTTAAATAATCTTAAATAAAAATATTAATGAAAAAAATAATTAATTAATAATTTTAAGTTAAATGAAAGAATCTAATATTTAAATTAATTTTATTTTTTTACAATTATTATTTTTTTATTATATTTTAAAAAATTTCAAATTTTTTTTTATTAATATTTAAATCCAAGCTTATTTTACTAAAAAATCTCAATTAGCTTAAAAATAAAATATAATTATAAAATATCTATATATATAAAACTTTGTATTAATAAAATATAATTCTTTTCTAGATTATATTTTAATTAGAATTAATATAATAATAGAATATATTATATAAAATCAAGTTTAATTAAAAGAAAATATTTTTTTATAGTAAACCTCATATTGTATTTTTATTTTAATTATTTTAAATTATAAATTAAAGTGCATTACATTTTAATTATAATTCAAATCTGATATATTAAAAAAAATAATTATAAATATTATATCAAATAATTAGGTAATAAGAATATAATAAAGATATATAATTATATTTTATTAAATAATATATATAGGTTGATTGTTAAAAAAATTAGATTCTGAGAATTTTTTAACGAAATTGAAATTTTTATTACATATTATTAGTTTTTGATATTATTTAATCAAAATGCATTAAATTCTTAATTTAATTAAACATTTCTTAAAATCCTATTTCCTAGAAATCCATTTATATAATATATAAAATAATATCTATATCTAAATAAAAAAAATCAATTTTACTTTAATTTAAACTTATGATAAGTTTATATAAAAATTAAAGTAAAATATGAATATAGATATATAATTAATATTGCTTTTTTAAACTCATATTAGATTTGGTAAAACTTTAATTTGTTAATTTATCATTAAGGTTTTGATATAATTTCACATTTTTTAAGTTTTAATATAATTTTGCTTTTTTCTTATTTTTTAATAAAATTTTAATATAATTTACTAAATATTATCTTTTTTTATTTAGATAACTTGCAAAATATCTAATTTTAATTTGCTGATTTTTCATTAAGGTTTTGATATAATTTTACATTTTTATAAGTTTTGATATAGTTTTACCTTTTTTTAGATTTTTAAGATTTTAATATAAATTTTGCTAAATTTTATTTTTTTTTTATTTAGATGACTTGTAATATCTCTAGATTTTATTTAGTAACCTTATATATAATTAATAATTATAAAAAAGCTCTATAATAAACATTTGTACCTGAATTTGCTAAATACAAAAAGAATTTAGGCTAATATTAATGGATAGACTATCTTTATTTTCTTTTAGTTCATAAGTCTTAGTGTAATTTTTTTATTACTGAGAAATTTAATATTAGAATTAAAAATAGAAATTTTTTAATCAATAATTTTAAGACTTGAAGAAGCAAAGTTTTAAAAAGAGCTGATTAGATTTGCAAATACTGTAATAAGAAATTCTGATATCCTTATATTTTTATTGTTATAAAAAAAAAAATATTAGACTAATAGACTAGTTGATAATAAGACAAAAATACTGTGGTTATTCTGTAAACATTAGCTTAATTTTTTCAGTAAGTGTTAAAATATATATAAGATCTTCTAAATTTCAAATCAATAAAATAAGCAAATTAGATTGAAAGAATACCTGAAGTTTCAAGAGAAATAATTCTTAAATATTATAAAGAGTGATTCAAGTTCAAATAGAATCTGATATCCAAGAGCATTCAAAAAGGCAAAAAAAAGAATACAATTAGATTATATCTTCATATCATAGTTAAATTATTTTTTCATATTTAGATTATATCATTATAAAGAATCAATAGAAAGAAATCATTTAAAATAATATCTAAGATAGCAAAAAGATATCTAATAAAATTATATTACACAATTAAGTTTAACATTTATAGGTTATGAATTCAGTTATGAAATTTAAGTAGTTTATGTAAATCAGACCATATCATAACGTTCAGATTATATCACCATATTCGGGTTATATCCCAATACTCACATAACCTAATCTAAGCCGATTCAGGTGATAAAACATAATTATGTTATTTCACCTGAATCTCTATTTTAAAAACTTAATAAACGTGTAATATTTACTAGAAAAGTTAATAAAATGTATATTAAACTCCATAATTTATGTTATAAATTATATTATTAAAAATTAAAAATTTTATATTTTATTAACTTTTTTTTAAAATTCGATAGGCAAAATTTTGCCTAAAAAATTAAAAACATTGTTAAATCGATATGGTAAAATTTTGCATTATGACTAAATTTGGATGAAATTTAATCTTACCATTTAAGGGATAGAATTAGTTGTATTACATCCACGTGTATTTAATTATTTTAATTAAATTTTTTTTTATTGGTTTTTTTAACTGTCCCTTTTTTTTTTTTTTTTACAAAATAAAAAAAAAAAAAGGAAAAAATTAAATTTTAATAAATCTTCCACATTTTAAATCCACCACAGCGATGCGAGGCAAGCCGTGGACCAATAATGTAAAGTATCTATACATATTAAAATGGAGGAAACTGCCGGAAAAAAAATTACTTTATATGTTAAATATAATTGTTAAGTAAATATGTCCATTTCTAGCATTAACTTGAAAAAAAAATTTTTTTTTTCGGCAATTTCTATTCCCTTTCTACTGCGAAGCGCCCATATGTTCCTATTCTATTATAAATTTACCATATTTATTTTATGTAGGAAAAAATACGACTCATTCAGTTAGTCGATGAATATAGTTTCAATAATTGGAATCGAATTGCATATGTACTTGAAAGAACAGCTCGAGATTGCAGAGAACAGTAAGTTATATACTTAATTCTCTTTAATTGAGATAGTTCAAATATTAACCAAAAAAAAATTGTTTTTCTCCATTCGCTGACAGATATTACGTAATTAGGCCGAATAGTAATTATAATATTTTATGATACATGCACTTAATTTTAATGATTAAAAAATTATATTAATATCAATTATATATAGACACTCGCCAAAGTTCTCACCAAAGTTCCCATCGAAGTTTGCGTATTCAACGTCAACAAACTCTTCAATTACGAATTCAGTAAGTTCACCTGATCGACCCAATAAAATATGTATTTTTTTTTATTTACGCCATTTTTATTTAGAAATAACGGTAACGTTGTTCAAACTACTTCATTGATACGACGTGATCCTAGGATGTCATTAAATTTTATTTTGACCCGTCCTTGCAAGATGAAACTGAGATATGTTTTGAACGATTAAATTTTACTACGACACATACCTTCTTAATCCTAGACTTTGGGTTTAGGTTATTTATGGTCCTAGACCCAATCCTTTAATTTAATGATTGCACGTGACACATACCGGTGATATGTGCGTTAACGTTTTTATTGACGTGGTAAAACACAAAATTCATTAATTAGATATAACTTATTTCCTTTAATAAATAAAAATATATGTATTTAATAGAGGTTGGTTTCATTAATCTTTGTATCTTTTAAGTGACTTTCGAATTTTGTGGCTTTGTACCATAAATTTTGCGGTCCGTTAAAGACGGCGGTTCCTTTAACGTTTGATAAAAAAATAACCTATATTTTCCCAAATGTCGTGATATACATTTAGAAGCAACATATACTTCTTTTATGACTGGTAAATAAGACTTAATATGGCGTAAACAACAAAAAATCTGATGATTTGATTAACATTATTTATATAGCAAACCGAAGGATTTACCATGGAGAGGATTTTTAATTTTTTTTTTTTTTTAACGCGTGGAAAGGATCTTTTAATCAGCGCTTTATGGTATATTGGAATTATGTTGAAAATGAGAACGCTTCTCATTTTTATCAAATCGAGGATTTTATAATATATCAAACCATCAGAAGAAAATACAAGTGTGAGTAAACCCGAAAATCCTTCTGAATGTTTTATATAATATATTATAATACGCCTTTAACAATTGATGCTGTCACAATTTTGATGGCGCTTGCTGATGACGCTGCTGATATTGCCGCTAACGTTGATATTGATAAACGACAACAATTGGACACTGATTGCACTTACGTAAGCCAGTGTAATGATACGATTGGTATTGGAGAGGGAAGGGTAACTGTCAGGGAAACATTGTGCGCCACAAACTCTCATAGAATATTTTAATCCGGTTAGAAGGCAAGACGCGATAGTTCAAGTAGTCGCGCGATTCACATGAATGAGTACCTTTATAACGCCATCGGGAACTGTTTCATCTTCATTATTGTTGTAGTAATAGGGGCAAAATCAAATCATTAAACCGATTCTACAACAATTCAAGAAGACAATATTTTCATTATCTTCGTGTTCTTCCATATCCTCTACTAGGAGTTTAACCAGTTCCAAGGCTTTTTGTGATAATAGTAAATCATTGTTCTCAAATTCAGAGATTAACTTGTGAAAAACATCATTATAATACAAATGATGACCCAAAACAATCAAAAGTTTAAGATCATCTTGAGGGAGCTGAACATTGTTTAAAAAAAACTCTAAAAGATGTGCAGCTATTAATGGAGGTGGATGGACACCACTCTCTTTATGTGGAGAACAAAAATTTTTTAAATCTGCCATAAATGTTTCCGAAGTGCATGATTTCTTGACTCGATGTATTTGTGGTAAAATGATTATAGAACTAAAATTTTTTGTCGGTTCTTCAGCGAAATTCATTTTTATTTTATTTTATTTTATTTTTTTTTTTTTGTGCTAAAAGCTCATCTCGGATAATTAAATAATTAAATTAATAATTTTTAAGTAAATCGATGATATCGCACCTATTAATATTTGTCATTAAGAATTTTTTTATCAGAAAAAAGAAAATTCAAAAAATGGGGTTGTATTCGTTACGCCTAAAAATTTTTTCGGTCACATTATTTGTTATCGTCTAATGCTATCAAATCACGTGACTGAACGCGTAGTGCATATCATAAAAATTATTGTGACGATCATTTAGTACATCATTCGAGTTGTTTTTATTGAATTCAATTAATGTTATAATTATGAAATCTTTTTTTTTTTTTATTACTTCTAGTTATTATTTCGAAATTAACTCACAAACAACGTCATAATTGCAGCACAGTAAATGAAGTAATTACTTACCTTTTTCTTGTCCTATTTAAAAACTACAATTAAATTTCAATTTTAGCAAAATGGCGCATCTTAACATTTGAACATTAATTTACTATCGGAACAGTATTAATTATTTTTATTTCTTAAATGATAAAATCAGAAATCTCTCTATTAAATTATTATTCGTGTTTAATAATAAAAGAATTTTAACCTCAAAAAAGGGACTTGAAAACTTTTAATTTACTACATAATTAAAACCCGCTGGGTAGAATTTGCGTTCCCATCGATCAAACAAAAACCAGTTCTAGTCCGAATTTAGTATGAATAGCTGATTAATACAAAATAGCTAAATATAGCTAAACCAGATATTGGGTAATGAAATATATTAAATGATCGTCATAGCCTAACTATATTTTGATTTACTTTCGTTATTACATACATGCGATAATGATAAACACTCAATATGAGTTAGCGAAAAAAAAACCGGTTTTGATAATAACGCTCTCATACATTAACGGATAGAATGTATCAAATGTATACATACATATATCGGTTATTTATTGATTTTAACATTGACGTTTTGAACTGTCAGATCATTATTTTCGTTAAAACGATATGTAAAAAAAAAAAAATATTTTATTTTTCTTTTTTTTTCAAAATGCCAAAAAAAGGATTGTCGTATTTCAAAATTTAAAATTTAAAAAAAAATAATTGATAAAAACATATAATGTGAAAAAAAAAGTCTTTTTTAAACAACATTTAAAACGTATGCTAACATCATCTTTCTAGGACGAGGCAAGTCGTTTGGTGTAAACAAAAAAACATCGTTGCCATTACCGTTATTATTTCTAAATCAAAAAATATATATAAATATTTTTCTAATTGTACAGTTAAATACATTATTGTCGAGCAAAACTTACCGTTGAAAAGAAAAAGCTTGTTGAGTTTGTCGTGGCCGACGAATTTGTCGATCTATACAAACAATTGAGTTAATATATAATTTTTGAACATTACATTAGAGAATAAAATAGTGTATTTACTATTTATCCCTTTGATTTCTTTATATCTGTTCAAGAAAGGGAAAAAAAGAATTTTTTAACAAAGATTTCGAACAATTTCAATTAAAGTGAAAGAACATATTACTTTTTTCTGCAAGCTTGATCTGATCTTCTTCCTTCAAATTCGGTTGAGATCTTTTTCCATTTTTTACCATGTATTTGTTCGACAAGCAGAATGAGAGCTCTTATTTCCTACAAAAATAAATTTAGTAAATTTGGTTTTGTTATTAAATCAGTATATATATTAATATATTGTACTTCATCAGTCCATCTCGATCTCATGCTGAATTCGTCTTTATTTAAGCTCAAATTAAAGAAAAGTTTGAGTATTTTTTTTCTTTTTTTTTTTAAAACAAATATATCGAGGTAGGGCTTCAATGCTCCTTTTATACCCTTGGAAAGTATGAAATTTTGTGGATGAAAGATAAATTTTTGTTCCGTATGATTCTGTATTTCGAAGAATAATAAAAAAATCCAATTCTTGTTTTTAACGCGTGTAATTCGTACAACAATAACTTAATCATATTTGTATATGTTTATATTATGTATAATCCTGATGCGGACAAATAATTATGTGGCAAATGAATGATTAAACTATTGCTTGTAACTTTCACAAATACAATTTTCCGACATGCTAATTCAATAGCGGAAAGATTGCTAAAAACCAGGAAGGAAGGCAATAATGATGAACGATCACTACGAGTGTTAATTGGTATTTACATTTAATTATAAATCTTTTTTTAGCTGAACCGGGATACTTTCGAGGTAGTGTATGATATTAAAGCAAGGCATATCGTTTCAGTACTTTTTACCAATTTTATGCATAATTTTATTTGCTATTATTTCAAACATTATATTTTTTTTATTATTATTATTATGTATATATTTTTTATTTATTCTCTAAGTAACGGATGAATTGAAAATTTTTCACGATTAATATCAACAAAAATACATGATTTGTAAAAAATTTTCATTAATTTATGTTTTTATTTGATTATATACAAACGAAAAAAAAATTTTTTAAAAAAATTTATACCTAAATAATTAATCATATCGCATCATTGTTGTTGTAATTGTCAGCTTACCTCTCTTAATCTAATATATCTAACTGTTTTCCTTTTTGACATCGGTTAACAATATAAACTTAAGTCCGGAGCCAAGTGTAACGAAAAGGACCAACCGCGTAGACCCCGGTGACTGAGGCAATAGAAACACATTCTATAAATAATAAATTATTAAGTATGTTTCTATTGACGAAGCCCCATATAGTCAATTATATATATATATATATTTTTTTCCTATTTTGACAAAAAATTTGTCAAAAAATTTGCAATCTAATAATAAACTGGTAAATTAATTATTAAATTATTTAATTTAAATATTTTTTTTTAGTTAATCAACCCAATACACCTAAAAAGAAAGCGCCTCTTAAGGTTCTTTATTTATTTCTTTTATCATTCATTATATATTTTTATTAAAGAAATTGACTTTCATATTTTTATAATTGCAAGACGATTCTGTACAAGAGAATTTCAGATTCAACACATGAAAGTTAACTGATCCCTCACTTTTAACGTTTTCTAAAGAAAATACATTTAATAATTGTTCCTTTATATTAATATTAATAAAATATTAACGATAACTAAATAGAAATTTAATTAAGTATAATTATAATAAAAAAAAAATTAACATAGTGTAATAATTATTTCGCGAAAATCATGACCAATGAAATTAGTGATATACAGTATACTGCGCTATTTAATATTCTAAAAAAAATATATATATGGTGCAAACGGCTTAGTTGCATCAAATGGCTAAGCCACCGCTGAAAATTTTGCCGATCACTTCCATATTAAATTCGTGATTTCATTGGTCGAAATCCTAACACGTGATAATTTCTAAATCACGTGATCAGTTTTAAATCATGTGATAATTGTTAAAATTGTGTCATTTCGCGCTATTTCGCAAATTTTACGATAATTTCAAATGCGATTTTCTGTTCCTTTACCTTAATAAAATTTCAATGCCAAAACTAAATAAACGTACTAAACAATCTCGGGATGCTATTAGAAAACGTTGGAAGAAAATGAAAATTCCCAATAAAACATTTCTATCCTAAGATGAGCTATCAAATGCCGAACCTGATATTATTGATGAATCATAATTTAATTCTTTTTGGGTGGAAAATGAAGAAACATGATTTGATAGTGATGAAATCACACAATCATTACAAGAATTGCAACCAAATATGCTAAAACAATTGGTTGAGAATGCAAAAAAATCAAATGTATGAGCTGAAAAATCACATGGACCAATATACAAAGGCGCTGCAGAATCAACATTACGTAATAAAAGGGCATATTTGCGAAAGGCGGCTTTGGATTCTAAGAAGATTACTGATATGTTTCTAAGTGAAGCTGCTGAACCTAATACTGACAATGATAACTTCACATTTGATG